GTACTATCAAGGACTTATAGTACTCAAATTAAAGCTAAGAACAAGATATACAACATTCATGTTGTGGGGAAGATGATATGTCAATCACATCTTGAGCTAGACTGCCTTGAAGATAGGGATCAAACTAGGGGGTTTTACACTGTCAATCCTTAGAAACCCTAGCTTGAAACTTCTCAAACTCCTCAATCATGATGATTTGGTCTAGGAATCATCCTTATAGCCTCTCAATGCATCATTCCATGATCACATGGCTCTTGGATTAGGTCTCAACCCTCTCCAAATCATCAGTTGACCTAGGGTTGACCCAGTCAAACCCTAATTCCACCACTCATGGCTGAATCTTTTGGATTCTTGTACAATGACCTCTCTAGGCTTCATGATGGCTTTCAAGACATCTCATAAGCTTTCTCAAAGCTTCAAGTCCATCCTCATAGTCTCAGAATCATCTGAGGGGATCCCACAACTCTCAAGTTATGAGCCACACAACCTTGGTTTCAACCAATTCCTCTGAGGATCTCTTGAGTTCTCTGACAAAGGTATCAACCTTTGAACACTTGAAGAAACTTCTTGGCTAGCTTCAAAGCCTCATATAACTCTTGATGGGTAAATAAATGTTGGTCAAATTTTGGGGTGCAACAGTTGGTATTGCTGAAGTGTAAATATTTGTCAGATGTTCTTCTCTATAAGATGTGTGTTTTGTTAAACTAGGGTTTAAGATTAATTTCTATTTATGGAATGCACAAGTATTTAATTGGTTATCCTTGAAGCTCAAGATTTCTGGAGTTCAGATGGATCATCGGGAAGTGCGGCATTTCTCATTGCAAAAGCTCAAGGACTAATATCAGGTGGATGATTCAAGTTAGTCTTCTTTAAGAAAGATTTCTTATAAGGATTTAAGATTCATTGCTATTTGTGTTTCTCACAGGTATTTAATGGATTATTCTTAGTTGATGATCAAGGTGCCTCATTGGTTGTTGCATCATCAATGCTCAAGTATCTGTCCCTTGGATATGTTTGGACTACTTCAAGGATCTGATGATCAAATAGTTGTTGGAACATTATATCAGCATCTTGTGGTCTAGTTCTAGACACATGTAAAAGAGTCTCTAAATATTCAGGTCTTCTCCAAGGATCTTAAGGTACAAGTGAGTGAGGAGTCATCATCTACTTGGGTTAGTTTATTTCGGATCTAGGTGCGTAGGAGTACAATTTTTGGGAGCATGACATCTCTGACATCTTGAAGATTTCTCTCTTTAAAGAAACTTGGATCTCTTGTAGCTGATTGACTACTATTTCCTAAAGAATCAAGCTTTGGCATGTTTGTTTCTTCTAAAGATGAACTCTTGTAGCTGATGCTCTTCAAGGTATCTGGTCTTAAGATTGGGTGTGGATCATTAACACATGATGGAGGTTGTCTTCTCAAACTTGATATGTTAATCAAGTCTATGAGAGCATTGAAATTCATAAATGATGTCCCTGCTCCTAGTCACACGTTAATCAGGGAGGAAACCATCAACAAAGGCCACAAGCTTGTCGGATCATACTCCTCCAACATGTGTGGATTGGCAAGGTAATCATTGGTCCCACGAGTAAAATGGTCCCCACTCTAGAAGAAGGGGAACTTCAGCAACCTTTGCCCCTTTACCTTACTCTTCTCATCGACAAGGGGATCCTCGCTCTCGTCTATCGAAACCTCCCAAATGAATGAGAAGTCTTTGGCCCTCTCTGACATGGGCTCAACTATCTAAAACATCTCCCAAAACTTCTTGATAGAATCAAAGAAAGGCTTGAATAATTTCCTCCCTTGCTTCATGGAGACCCATCTGAACTACCTCTAACAACCTGAGTTGGAGATGGAAGACGATGAAGAAGACGGGGAGAGTGGCTCCAATCTTCAAAAATTCACATGTTATCTTGAATGCCTGGATGAAGGCAATCGAGTTTGGGTGCAGTTGGAAGAGCGTCAAATCTAGGTGTCTGAAAACTGCCATTTGAAAGTTTGTGAAGGGTAGCCTCAACTCGATCTCCTTGAAGACAAACTCGTACATGGGGAACCTATCCCCGTAGGCCAAGCATATTCGGTCATTCACCTAAGGAAAGTGGACCCTTCAATATCCCCGACCCCCACCGACGTGAAGGCATCCTGAGTGTAAAAAGCAAAGAGTGAGGTATGCTCCCGAGGCTCAACAACAACCACTCTCCCCCAGAACTACTAGGAGCGGATGTTTTTCCAGCATTCTGAGGAGCGAAAGTTTCATCGGCACTGTTATCCTCCGAAGAGCTCTCCTCAGATAATTCTCTCATAACTTCATCCTCGGGACCACGACACATCTCCTTTACCTGAAAAGCAGAGGACAAAAGTGAATTTGATGATAAAGTCAAATCCACCTTTCCCCCACTAGTCAAGTGAAAGGGCGCTCGAAGACCCGAGGACAACGTCCCCGACCTAAGCCCTTGCTTAAACTATGCAGAAAGGGTGCAAGAAGACACCCATGGTAATCCCTCAAACCCACACGAGGAGATCCTCCTCGGAGCGTTACCCAAAATTCCGTTAGAGATCCACCCGAAAAATCATGAGTACACCAGAAATACATAAGCTCCACCGGCAATAAGCTCACTCGTTATCGCGACGGTTTTAGAATCGACAAAAAATCCTAAGTTCATATTGCTCCAATGATGGTGTCGGCGGCAGAAAATGGCCTAACCACCGCCAGCCACCAACAATCGCCAGAAACCACCCCTATTCTACCAAATTTCATTCTAACCATATGTAATATAAGCAAAACAGGGATTGAACCACTTAAAACAGAAAAGGTGAAGGAAACTTACAAGGTTAAAGGGAAGAAAAGCTGGTCGGCAAAGTCTGATCATTGCTCGTGAGGCGGCGGATGACAGAAGCGAGGACAAGCAGCAAGAGAAGAAAAAGAAGCGAAAAGTAAAAATGAACATTACCCCCATCTATTTATAGACAGATCAGAGGCACGAGCACGCGCGGCGTAGGGGCATCATCATGACCCTAGAATAGCCATCATCACACATTAAATACGGCATATGGCTCGATATACACGTGGAACTTCATCCCTTCAAGTTCCATTAACTGTTGGGCTCTTTGCTCGTCGGGCACGCAGAACAACGTTTCAGGTTCCCCAGGCGCAGGTGCCCTCGAGCACCACGAAACGATCTCGTCTCAGTAACAGGCTTTGATTACACCTGCTCTTCCTCGGGACCGCAAGATGCCATTAAGTCATCACTCCTACGTTCAGAGCAACAACTTAGGGGGCTTCTGTACCGGACTGGCCCAATGTTGAGGAAGGCTGACCAGCTGACCCCCAGGATCGGCTGTCCTTCGTCACATTTATTCCCGTCACACACGGTTCCACCATCTAGAAATAGTCACAACGGTCGTGCCTGCGATCACCTCTCTGCCCGCAGAATCGGCTAGTTTTGAGCACCTATTCCCGTCTCAACAGATAGTTTCAGGCAGTTACCTATTCTTTGGGAGCAATATCTCGCCCCAAAAATATGGACCAATGACCAAGCGCTAAGGGCATTATAAAAATCTCTCATTTTAGAGGGTCAGGTATTCTAAAATCATCCTAAGACATACTCACTTTGTACTTGCCTTCCCTTCTCCTAATTCTTACTTTAACATCGAAGTGTCTTGCATGTACACCCCCACCTCATCTTTGAAACTCAGCATCACAGATAAAGTCTATATCCCACTCCAAGTTCTGATCAGCTGGTAAGATCATATATATATATATATATATATATATATATATATATATATATATATATATATATATATATATATATATATATATATATATATATATATATATATATATATATATATATATATATATATATATATATATATATATATATATATATAGATTAAGTGACATTAATATGTTAAAGTTTAATTTGACACCAAATTTCAAAATGATGGATCAAACGATCATATTAAATAAAATACAAAAATATAATAAATATGTGGTCCATTCTTTTCTCTAACAAAATAGACTATTTATATGGCTATTTAATCGAATGATATTAACGGTTGAGATTTGGTGTCAAACTTAAAGTTACTATAATTGAAACATTCATGCATATCTCTTTCTTTCTTTTTTTTGAAATATTCATCACCATACAAAATGCTATAATTGAAATATCCATGCATATTTCTTTTTTAGTTGAAATATTCATCACCAAATAAATTGCTATAAATGAAATTGAAATATTTATATATATTTACAAAACTAACCCTTAGTATTATAATATTTGACGAGTTTTGTTTTTCAAACCGTCGCCCGTAAATATACATAAATAAATAGAGGATTCCAATTACTTTTAGGTTCAATATGTCATTCAAATAAATTATTTTTTAAATATATTATAACAACGTATACAGTAAAGCATTTATTTATTTTTTAAAAAGTCAGATATTATTTTAATTAAGGAAAAATAAAAGAATTTCCTTATAATATAACTTATACCTTTTAACATATATATATATATATATATATATATATATATATATATATATATATATATATATATATATATATATATATATATATATATATATATATATATATATATATATATATATATATATATATATATATATATATATATATATATATATATATATATATATATATATATATATATATATATATATATATATATATATATATATATATATATATATATATATATATATATATATATATATATATATATACTATAATTGAAATATTCATGTATATCTCATTTTTAGTTGAAATATTTATCACCAAGAAAAATGTTATAATTGAATATCCATGCATATCTCTTTTTTAGTTGAAATATTCATCACCAAATAAATTTCAATAAATAAAAATATTACTTTATTTCTTAAGAAACAAAGTTAATGTGATAATTCCTCTATAAAAACATCACTAGAGTTCAACCAGTTTTCACCAAACATTGAGGAATTTATATAGATAATTAAGATGGATTCATTTTCTTTAATGTGTATTTTAGGCTTAATAGTCATTGTGGGTAATAGTCACGTTGCAAGTGCACAAGACTATCCAGAAGATTACCTGAACCTCCACAATGAGGCAAGATCAGCACTATCTGGTTGGAATATGTCAGATCTTGTTTGGGATGACGACCTTGCTGCTTACGCACAAAATTTTTCTAATCATCGCAAGGATTGTAAAATCGTGTCCTCCAACACTAATGGTCATCTTTATGGAGAGAATATCGCGGTGAGCACCGGCAACATGAGTGGCAAGGAAGCAGTGAAGTTGTGGGTGGATGAAGCACCCCACTATAACGGTTACCTTAACCGTTGTGAGGGCGGTGAATGTACTCATTATACACAAGTGGTTTGGAAGAGATCGAAATTTATTGGATGTGGGAAAGTGAAATGTAATAATGGAGGGACGTTCGTTATTTGCAATTATGATCCTCCTGGTAACATTGGAGGAGAATATCCATTCATGGAATAGTAATCGTTCTAAATTATAAAATAATGTGTACGTGAAATCATTTTGGTGAAATTTTATAAGTTTTTCCAACTCGTATTTACTCATTTATCTCTCTTAAAACTTCTTAGATAACATAATCTATCAATTTAATATTCTTATCATTACATTATTTAAGTAATACACACCAACAACATATATGAGTTTTTTCTTTTGGATAAAATAATAAATATGCCACTATCTTCCACAATCATGATCTAAACAGTAAAAAAAATGTATATGGAGCCTCCAACTATAGTTTTACAACAAAAGGTCAAAGAAAAATGGCATGAAAATGTTATTTTCTCTTTAAATGTTATGTAAAAAATTATTTGTGAAATATAGTATGATAATGAGTTTCTTTTTCACTTTACTCAAAGTTTAATATTTTTATTGTCTAAATAAATCATGTTGACATAATTCAGGATTCATAAGTCTATCCGATTGAGATGTGTGCAACCTCATTTTTATTTAAATATTAAGAGTAAACATGCATGCTAATTATGTAGATTTTACATCAGTTTTATTAATTATTTATGTATTTAAAAGTCATGGATATGAACAATGTATTATTTTTACTTGATGTACTTAACCTAAAAAACCTAAAAAGCCTACTTTCTGAAGGTGTGAGTCATTTACAACCCTCTTTGAGCGGCACAATGAAAGAAAAAAAAATTCAATGTTACAACCCTTATTCATATTTGAAAAAGAAAAACAATATTACCTACTTCATCTTAAGAATATGAGAGCACGTAAAAGCAACAGTATTGAAAATTGAACGTTTGGGAGAAAAAGAAAACAAAAATGTTTTTAAAAGAAAAATTTAAGTAGTATTGATGCAATGAAAATGAAAGAAAAATGATTTGAAAAAAAACAAAACTAAAAATCAAAAGTCAAACATAAAAAAAGAAAAAATTGTATTAAAAAGAAAATGGTTTTAAGAATGCGTAAACAAAGAAAGAGAAAGTTTTGAAATGAAATACATTATGCTCTCCTTTAGGCTTTTGAATCTAAAGCAAAATGATTAATTTTTTGTAAATTCGACAATGTTTAAACCTAAAGAAAGACCTTAGTGATCCATGATTGATGATATGTCTTGCGTGTTGAAAATTCAACCACAACTTATAGAGAATTTCACTCAATCAATCTTAATCTCAAGATTGTTTCAACTCACGTAATGACAATGAAAGAAAAGTTTAGAAAAAAAGAAAGAAAATAAACGTTGGAGAAGAAGATGAATAATTTTCTGCAGAGAACTCTCTGCTCACAAACTGTGGAAATTATGTTATTTCACTTGCAACTGCAAACAGTGAATTACAAGAATAATTAGTTGAAATGAGATGTTTACAAAATAAAGATTTCTTCCTATTTAAAGATTTAGGTTAGCTTGCACCCCAACCTAAAGGACAAACTATAAAAGCCCAAAAATATATAATATAATATTTCTAAATAAAATATGATCTTTCTAAATCAAATATAATCTTTCTAAAACAAAGAATTACAATTTAACACACCACCTAATTCATTGTGTCTAAACTATCTACATTCATCATAGACCTTAGCTTCTTGGAAACCGATTTTGAAATGCAACCTTGAAATTTCAATCTCCAACTCTTCAATTCTCCATGGATGTGATCTCAATTCAATCTGCACAGCTTCAATATGATGTATAGAATGTGTTTGTGTGAAAACAATGAAAGGAAATGAAGAAGAATGAAGAATTGACACTTGACTTGCAATGGAAGAATTTGGATCTCACTCTCTCTTCTCTACACCAATTCTCACCAACCTTGCATCTGAGCAAGTTACAATCATCTTATAGAGTGGTTTAGAATCATCTAGAAACCTCTAGGATCATCCAATGAGAAATTGAACTTTTCATGTCATGACATTTTGAATCCAATTCTCCTTACATGCTATCTCATGCCAAGCTCCTTGTAACTACCAATTCTGACTTGAATTTATCCCCACATGAGATTTTGGATAAGTTGCAATGCATAACCACCTTGTACATTGAGTTCTTTTGAGTTTTGGTTTGGTACCTTAAGATGCAAGTAAGCCAATTCCAAAGAAGCCCTATGATCCAAGCCTCAAATAAAAATTGTGGCTGAACCATTGTTCTTAGAATGTCATTTGGAGTCAAAATGACCTATTATATGACATGTTTTGGATTTATGGCTTGTGATTTCCAATTTTCAACTTCACCTTAATTAACTTATGCCTCCATTTTTAGGCCATTTTTATCACTTTTTGATATGAGACTTTTCAACATCTCAAGACCTCCCTAATAGCCTTAAAACATCATTCTAAGCAAGTTTGATGTTGAAGATGTTTCCATTTGAAGCTTGGAAATAGGAGATATGGCCTTATGCTTGAAATGACCTATAACCTCCAAATGACCAAAATGCCCTTGACTTGTCAAAGCCATAAGTTGAGTTCTACAAATCCTATCAAGTACTTCTAGTACTCTCTAGAAATCAAAGAAGATGCTCTACAACATTAATGTTGACCAAGAATCCATAGGAATCATCCTACTAGGGCAAAAGTTGGATGCAAGTTGGGTGACTTTCAAGGACCCAGATTCACATACCTCAGATGACCTGTAATTTGCCAAAGCCATAAGTTGAGTTCTACAAGTCCTATAAAGGACTTCTAGTACTCAAATTAAATCTAAGAACAAGCTCTACAACATTCATGTTGTGGGGAAGATGAGATGAGAATCACATCTTGAGCTAGACTGCCTTGAAGATAGGGATCAAACTAGGGGGTTTTACACTGTCAATCCTTAGAAACCCTAGCTTGAAACTTCTCAAACTCCTCAATCATGATGAGTTGGTTTAGGAATCATCCTTATAGCCTCTCAATGCATCATTCCATGATCACATGGCTCTTGGATTAGGTCTCAACCCTCTCCAAATCATTTGTTGACCTAGGGTTGACCCAGTCAAACCCTAATTCCACCACTCATGGCTGAATCTTCTGGATTCTTGTACAATGACCTTTCTAGGCTTCATGATGGATTTCAAGAAATCTCATAAGCTTTCTCAAAGCTTCAAGTCCATCCTCATAGTCTCAGAATCATCTGAGGGGATCCCACAACTCTCAAGTTATGAGCCACACAACCTTGGTTTCAACCAATTCCTTTGAGGATCTCTTGAGTTCTCTGACAAAGGTATCAACCTTTGAACACTTGAAAAAACTTCTTGGCTAGCTTCAAAGCCTCATATAACTCTTGATGGGTAAATAAATGTTGGTCAAATTTTGGGGTTCAACAGCTGCCCCTATTCAAACGGCTTGAACCTGACTGGGTGAGGAGCGAACGGCTCTCAACCAATCAAGGTGCGAGACGGTTGAATACCGATGAACCCGGAAATTTTCCAACTGCACGAGCACACGGTACTCTGAGGGGAACAAATCTCCGAAAATTGAAATAATAGCTGCATGGCAACTAGCTGGAGACATACTGACATGAACCTTGTCGTCAGTCATCCACATTGAATTCCTCTGACATCGTCATCAGACACCTGACCTCGTCGTCAGGCATTCATGAAAATAAAGCGTCTGACATCGCCGTCGGACAACCAAAACACCCAACATCGTCGCTGGAAAACTAAAGAATTTGACATCGCCTCTGGAGAACTAAAGAATCTGACATCGCCGTCGAACAACCAAAATACCCAACATCGCCGCTGGAAAACTAAATCTCCTGACATCACCGTCAGAAACAAACAAAATACCCAACATCGCCGCTGGAGAACTAAATCACCTAACATCGCCGCCAGAAACACACATCCAACATCGTCGCCGGAGCTACAAAGGAACCTGACGTCGCCGCCAGAATCAAACATCCAACATCGCCGTTGGAGAACTCAATCACCTGACATCGCTGCCGGAGAACTAAAGGGTCTGACATCGCCGTCAAAAACAAACATCCAACATCGCCGCTGGAGAACTCAAAATCTGACATCGCCGTCAAAAACAAACAGCCAACATCGCCGCTGGAGAACTCAAAATCTGACATCGTCGTCAAAAACAAACAGCCAACATCGCCGCTGGAGAACTCAAAATCTGACATCACCGTCAAAAACAAACATCCAACATCGCCGCTGGAGAACTCAAGATAATCTGGGAAACACCCGACATCGCCGTCGAGTACTCAAAATAATCTGACTTCGCTGTCAAAACAAACATCCAACATCGCCGCTGGAGAATTAAATCACCTGACAGCCAGAAACAAACATCCAACATCGCCGCTGGAGAATAAAATCATCTGACATCGCCGCCAGAAACAAACAAAACTCTGAGAAACACCCGACATCTCCGTCAAGTACTCAACATAATCTGACCTCACCGTCGAAAACAAACATCCAACATCGCCGCTGGAAACAAACATAATCTGACCTCGCTGTCAGGGACAAACCTCCTCTGACCTCGCCTTCAGGGTGAAGAAACTCCATTGGGGAATTGGTCACACGGTAACCAGTAATACATAGTCGATCATGCCATCAGGCATTCAAGGAACACTGTCGGGCATCAGCCGGACTTCAATCATCAGGTTGATCATGCCATCAGGCATTCAAAGAAATTGCCGGGCATCAGCCGGACTTCAACCATCAGGTTGATCATGCCATCATGCATTCCGCATTACTGTCGGGCATCAGCCAGACTTCATCAGCAAGTCGGGAATAGAATTCTTGGTCAATTATGAGCCAACTGGGAAACTCTAAACCTCTGCCATCAGGCACTCCGCATCAGCTGAGAGAACTGCTTCATTAACACGGTCAGACTTCAATCATGGAGTCTTCAAGGGAGGTTTCAACTTCGCCGTTAGAGACCTGCTGGGGATGACGCTTCGCCGCTGGGGAATCTGGCGAACTAACAAGTAACTCCGCTCCGGGGGTCCAGAAATCATTCTGGATGAATCAACTCTGCTGAGGACTTCAAGAATCATCTTGGACAAATAACTCCGCCGGGGGCCTTCAAGA